ACTCCACTTTTCCCTCCAGAGGTGGGAAACTCAGAGCCAGTTGGGGACACAGGATATACACTCCCATGGGGCTGGATGTCCTTAGAGAATGTGGGACTATTAGCCATTTTCCTAAGGGGCTAGTTTTCATCTTCTGTCCTATGCGAGGATCTAGACAACAAGCACTCTTAGAGCGAATTTTACCACGAGCCCAAATTCCCAGGCCTCTAGGAGGTAGAGGAACTAGTTGGGGACTTTTCCCAGGTCACACAGTCCCTGGCATTGTCCAGGGCCCTGGCTTGTTTCTAGTGGGTTTTGCATATAAGTGTGTCTCTGCAGCAGGAGAACTGTAGAGTTGGGGGGAGGGGGGGCTGGGAGTGGGGAGGAGGGCCACAACCAAGAGTGGGGGTACTAAACTACAACATCCGAGTCTCCCCGACAACTGTGCACCTGTCTCCTTTCCCTTCCGCCCCCCTCCCTCCCCACCCCCCTGCAAACTACCTGCATGGGGACTCATCTGGCACTGCATGGGCCATAGGTCCCTGCCTCTACCCCTCCTAAAGCTGTCCTCATGCTTACTGTGTGATTCCTTTTCCCCTGCCCCAATGCGGAACGAGTCACAACATTTGCATCTCTGGGACTCCCGAGACTGGTCAGTCTGCAACCACCTCCACATGCATGTCCGTGTCCGTGACTTCAGGATTCCACAGCAAGCTTACCCTCCTCCTGGTGTGACACCCCGCACCTCCTTCCACCCTTTCCACTGCTTGCAGAGATCAGTGTACTTCTCAATCATTGTCCATATCTTTTCCAAAAAGATTCCTCAATGCTTTTCTTTCCAAAAGGGAAAAAAAAAGGAAAAAAAAAACAATGCCAACAGCCCAGCGTCCGTGAACAACCCAACAGTAACAAAGCATGCATTCGGGATGGAGGAAGGTAAGGCCACACATTTCCATTTGCTGCTTGCTCCTAGGGCTGGGCAGCTGGGATGACTTGAAGTAGGGATTCCTGTGTGCTCCCCTCCTCCACAACCAGGTCCCACCCACTCTTACTTTTTTCCATGTTGGGAGAGGGGGTACAGCCTAGAGAGCAGGCACATAGAAAAGCCCCCAAGAAGCAAGGCACTGATGGCTCATGCCTGTAATCCTAGCTACTCAGGTTCGAAACCAGTCAGGGCAAGAAAATCCATGAGACTCTTATCTCCAATAAATTAAAAAAAAAAAAAAAAAAAAAGCTGGGCCAGGTGCCAGTGGCTCACGCCTGTAATCCTAGCTCCTCAGGTGGCTGAGATCTGAGGATCATGGTTCAAAGCCAGCCTGGGGAGGAAAAGCCTTGAAACTCTTATCTCCAGAAAACCGGAAGTGAAGCTGTGGCTCAAGTGGTAGAGCACTAGCCTTGAGCTGAAGAGCTGAGGGACAGGACTTAGGCCCAGAGTTCAGGCCCCATGACTGACAAAAAAAAAAAAAAAAAAAAAGCTGGAAGTGGAGCTGTGGCTCCAGTGGTAGAGTGCTAACCTTGAGCAAAAGAAGCTTAGGGACAGCACCCCAGCCCTGAGTTCAAGCCCTAAGACTGGCACAAAGTATCAATTAATTAAAATTAAGTACCAAAAAGGGCTGGAGCATGGCTCAAATGATAGATTTCCGCTTAGTAAGTATATGGTCCCAGTACTGCCAAAATAAAGAAAATTAAAAAGAGAAGTACCCAGGAGGCTGTCCCAGAGCCAGCAAGACTCCTGGTTCTTTTACGGTTTCTCCATGCTGGAGAAAGCCTTCCTCTTGCCACATCATTCATTCATTCATTCATTCAGGACATGATTTTTGAACACTTATTTTCAGGCCAGGGATTAATTACCACTGGGGATATAGATGAGGCGTCCCCTCTCTGCAGGGACCGCTCTTCCTGGGGAGACACACCTGGGAACATTCAAGAGCCTGGCTAGAAGTCAGCATGGAGCTTTGCAGAGCTTGGGAAGATGGACTGTGTTCTGGAGCGCAGGAAGTCTGGCAGATCTTCAGGCATAGAAAGTTGCATGAGCCCAGATCCATGAACCTAGAGCCTAAAGCTATCTGCACAGATTCCTTAGCTGGGGAGCACATGAGCGAGCCAGGCTTGAAAAGAATCTTTTTTGGTAGTGCTGGGCAGTTAAGATTTTGATCCTGAGTGAGCTAAGGAGTGGCAGAGAGAGAAAGGAGAGGAAAAGCAAGGTGAGGTTTGTACTCTGGGTGGAAGGATCTGGAAGTGAGGGGGCCCAGGTGGCAGGGCAAGGTAGTCAGGGCAAGAGACATCCAGGAGACAGAGTCAGCAGAGCCTTGAGTACCCTGGGACATGAGGGCAAAAAGAATCCTGCCCACCCCATCTCACTCAGGTCTACACAGTAAAGAGAGAAATGCAAACAATCCAGGCACAGTGGCTCATGCCTGTAATCTGAGCTACTTGGGGAGCTGAGATTAGGAGAATGACTGTTCAAGTCCAACCCAGACAGAAGAGTTTGTGAGACACCCCTCCCTTCTCTCAACCTATAGCAGGAGGAGTTGGACCACATCTGTCATCCCAAGCTACATGAAAAGATGAGATTGGGAAGATGATGGGTCCAGGCTAGCCTAGGCAGAAAAGTTCATGAGATTCCATCTTCACAGAAAGAAGCTGGGCATGATGGCCACATGTCTGTCATGCTAGCTACAATGGGAAGGAAGCAGGACCCTATCTCAAAAATAACCAGAGCCAAAAAAGGCTAAGGGGGGGGGCATGGCTCCGCAGTAGAGCACCTGCCTAGCAAGCATGAGATTCTGAGTTGAAACTCCAGTATTGCCACACAAAAAGAAAAGGCAAAAGAAAATGTGAACAAGCAGCCCAGGTGATGCCTGGCCCCAAGAGCAACAAATCCATTTGTAACTGTCCTACACTGTCACATGATGGATGGGGCGTATCCAGTCAGACTTGTGTGATGGGGTTGCTAAGGCGGCTGGGGTGTTGCTGGGACCTGCACCAAGGGATGGTGGGATACCCCGCTTGGACCCAGGCTCTGGTTTCCTTGGCTTCCTTGGCAGTGTGGATGTGTCGCATTTTGCATCAAGATGGTTGGGGTTGTCTCTGTTCTGGTGGCCTTTCCCATTGCTTCATCTGGGGCTTCCCATCCGGATCCTGAGGAGGCCCCTGCGTTTCTTGCTACTGCCTACTCCTCTCCTGCCCGCCTGGCCCTGCTGTCAGCGCCCCCTAGTGCCAGGTTGGCTGTGCTGGTGGGCAAAAGCTTCTGAAACAAAGTGGGGGCCTCACAGGTCTTCCCCCCTCCCCAAACCCTTTGGCTTGCTTATGGGAAAAGAAAGGGGAGGGAGCGTGCTCTCTTGGAGTCTTCCACTTCCACAAAGAGCACCCAGAGCCTAGTCTTTGCTTTCCTAGACTTTCCTTCTCCTGGCACAATGACCTGTACACCCCTGCCCCCAAATTAGGGTGATACTGAATAATGAGCAAGGGAAAGAGATCCTACCCAGCACCCTCCTGCCTTGTTTTCTATCCATACCCAAATATCTTTGGACTTTTTCCAGAATCAAGTCCCCATCAGTGACCAGTGTCTGTGGGAGATCAGGTACCACAACCAGACCCCCCCCTCCTTCCATCGTGTGCAATCTGCTGGGAGGCTGTGGTGTCCTGGTGTATGCATCCAGCCTGGGTCCAGACCATCCATGGCCACTGCAGCCTCAGCCCCTTCCCCAATCTAGGTGCCTTCCTTTCCCCTGCTCTGTTCTGTGACTGCTATGGAGCGGACTGAGTGCCTTGGGGGTGGCCTGCATGGTGTGGGGGTCAATAGTCAGTTCCTAGCCAGCTGTTGGTGGCCAGCCCAGGGGTCACCGGTGCTGTGTGTGTGGTGGCAGGGGCTAGCATGGAATGGTGTACACACTTTGCTGTTTCAGGTAACTGCTTTAAGGTTCTGCACTCCTGAGCTGGAAAGGCAAAAGGCCACAGTTCCAAACAGGCTTACCTTGGGCCAATGCTAAGCTTCAGGCTCCTACATCTTGGCTTAGAAAAAACTCCAGAGACTACTTAAGAATGTGTGTTCCGAGTCACAGGGAAGGGCTGACAGGGACAGGAACTAGACACCTTCAGAAAGCTGAGACGTGTTCCCTTCATCCTTATATTCCACAAGCCAGGGATCCTGTTCCAAATCCCTTGCCCCAGTTTCTATGTGGGATGGAGAGATAGTGGGGCAGTTAAGGTATCCATTGCTAAAGAAGACCCGTCAGGCTGCCATATCCAAGATGGCGGCATGAATGGGCAGCAGCCAGCATGCCCAGTAGGTCTTGCAGCCTACTTTATGGGTCAGCTCTCAATGTGTTCATTCTGTGGGCTCCAGAAGATTTGGAGCGAAGAGAAGGCAGAAAGAAAACATTCAGGCAAATAGGAACCCCCTCTCTGAATACTCCCCTCACCCCTACCACCCAAAAAGCATTCCCTATTACAAGGAAACAAAACATTTCCAGAATGTACCAAGGATGAGTGCCTGGCCAGCAGGCGGGCTGTGTAAGTGACAGCAAGTGACAAGGCAGTGGCTGAGCTGGGGGCAGAAATCCAGGGACGGGTGGGGCAGGAGAGGAAAGGTAGAGCACATCAGGCAGACAAGCTGCTGTCCTCCGGCCCTGGCTCTCCCCACCTTCCTCATCAGCAGATCCAGGACAGCACACACTGGAGGGGTGTGTGTGTGTGTGTGTGTGTGTGTGTGTGTGTGTACATGCATGCATGCAAGGGTGAGTCCCATGAACAAACGGATCAGCAGTGGCCATAACCCTGGTTTCTAGGGATTTCCCATGGGATGGAAAGTATGCTATCCAAGGGGGCCTCTTCCTCCCCTGGCTGAGCCTTCCTGTGACCTGAGTTGCCACCTGGCTCCTCTGGGAGCAAGTGAGAAGCCCCTGTGAACGGATGTAAGCAGACCTAGAAGTGCACTTCATGATGAGCTGCGTGGCCCAGGTCATACCTCCATTCCCATGCCCATCTGACCAGGCCTGGCCCTGTCCTCTGTCTTGCAGAACTTCAGCGAGAGGGAAGCATCGAGACTCTGAGTAACAGTTCAGGCTCCACCAGCGGCAGCATCCCAAGAAACTTTGACGGCTACCGGTCTCCGCTCCCCATCAATGAGAGCCAGCCCCTCAGCCTCTTCCCCACCGGCTTCCCCTAGGTACCAGCAACCTGCTTCTGACTGGTGGCCTACTCACTCACTAGAGGGAGGGGGAGACCCCCCACTCTCCCTCCCCCCATTCTCCCCCTTCAGCCTCTGCTCCTCTTTCATCCACTACCTTCCCTAAGCTTAGTGACAACAGCCACCCATCCTGGATGAGAAGAGACCCTTCAAAGCACCTCGGCGCGCCCTGACCTCTGCCGCTCCTGTCCGTGAGGGCTGCGGCCAGAAAGACTGCAGAAGCTCAGTCCCCTCCTCCATTTGCACATGATGTCCTGTATCGGATCCGCTTTTGTATTTCCTAACTATACCCCTCCCCCCCCCAGGGAGCCTGGAACAGTGACCAGATCTTGGAGCCTGGGTGGGGGGAAGGTAGCCCTTCGTGGACAGTCTCAACCCCACTGTGGCTGTGGGCCACACTGCCTGCCCGCCAGCTTCCCTTGCACAGCCTCCCCAGCATGGGGTAAAATGAGGCCCAGTGTACTAGGGAAGGAAAACGGAAGGAGAGCCCTCCCCTTCCCTCTTGCTTCCCTGCTGGCTCATGGAAAGACTTTTTCTTATCTTCAAGCCCTTGTACCCTGGTCCTGTGCTGTTTAGTGAAGGAAACCTTGGTTACTGAGGTCCTGTCGAAAAGTGCACGTCTTGTTCAATAAATCACGCTGCAATTGGTGTCTATCCCTGAGTTGCTGGGGTCAGAGTTCTGTGCAAACGCTGAGCAGAGTCCTATGAGCCTGACTTGTGCCTCAGCTTCTGACACCCACCTACCCTTGTGCATGTAAGTGGGGAGCTTGTAACAGGTACAAAAAAAGGAAGGAAAATCTGTTCTCAAACTTAGGTAGGGCCTGGTTTAAATCAATTCTCCAACGTTTTTTCTGTTTTTCTTTTTTTTTTGGTCAGCCATGGGGCTGAGCTCTTTTTATTTCAAGGCTAGCACTCTACCCCTTTGAGCCACAGCACCACTTCTGGTTTTCTGGTGGTTAATTGGAGCTAAGAGTCTCATGGACTTTGTGTCCAAGCTAGCTTTGAACTTCCATCCTCAGATCTCAGTCTCCTGAGTAAGATTACAGGCATGAGTCAGCAGCAGCATGGCATAATTCTCTAAGTTTGACTTCAGGCTTGGACCCTCTGGGTTTTTGTTGTTGTTTGTTTTGGTTTTGTTTTTTTCTTTTGTGGTACTAGGGTTTGAACTCAAGGCATTGCACTCCACTTGCTTGCTCAGCTTGTACTCTCCCGGAGCCATGTCTCCAGCCCTGGATCTTTCTTACTGCTGACCATCAAGGCCAGACTTAGCCTGGCATGGGTGGTGACTAAAAGAAGAGTTTGGCACACCCCTGGCCTTGTCTTCAGAATACCTCGGAATTTGCCCCCTTTTCTGGCTGGGTAGAACATCAGGTGACAAGTTCCTGATTTTGAAGGAATGTTGAACAGGAAGGATATTAATGCTAGTCCTAGCCCCTACCCTCCTTGCTGGCCACACTTCTCTGCAATCCCAGGGAGGCTTTGAAGGAAACCCACTGAGCCAGGTATGTTTTGAGGTAAAGTTTAATGCAACAGTCACAGAAACATTGAATTCACTGTCTTCCCACCCAAGTATCCAACTAGAACTGAAGCAGATGCTGGACTCTCATCCCATCCTTGGTGTTCAAGAAGAGATTTTTTTTTTTTTTTTTCGTTCGTGGGGGCTGAACTCTGGGCCTGGGTGCTGTCCCTCAGCTCTTCAGCTGAAGGCTAGTACTCTACCACTTGAGCCACAGCACCACTTCCAGCTTTTTTCTGCTTATATGGTGCTGAGGAATCGAACCCAGAGCCTCATGCACGTGAGGCAAGCGCTCTACCACAGAGCCAACTTCCCAGCCCCTCAAGAAGAGATTTAATCTTCAGTCCCCTCCACCAGATCAGGTGGGCATGTGGGGAGAAGAGGTCTGAATCACACTAGGCCCTACAGGCTCAGGAGATGGGTGTCTGTTGCCTGAGCTCCTGTGGAATGAGAAAACCTCTGGCAGAGTGAGGCATGATGGAAATACATCAGGTCCTAGACATGGAGGGCAGGATCCTGAAGCAACTGCTTTTCCTCATTTTAGCAGCATTGGACATTGGAGTGCCTGCTGCATCCTCCGCTCTCAACTACAGCAGCATTCCAGGCAGAAAGGGACAGGGAGGAGGGTACTACCCTGCGGCCTGTGCATACTGCCCAGAGCCTGGCCGTCTGGGGAGAACTCCAGAAACTCCAGGAGCCATGAGCCTCCCTGTACCCACCCTAGGACACAACATGGAATGAGGCAAAATTTTTGCTCTCAGGTACACTCTCAGCCATACACAGACTTGGCTGGTGGCCTGGAGTCAGGCTTTCTCCCTAGCCAGGCCCTTTCCCTCTAGTGGGGGCAAACAGCTGTGGCCTCCTCCAGTCAGGGAAAGTGGTGGGTGGAGGGCTGGACTTGCTGGCTGAGCTTGCAGGACAATCTGGTTATTCATCTGCTCACAGGGCAACTCTGAGCATGTGGGGGAAGGGGAAGGATCAGAGAGCCCAGATAAGCTGGCCCCAGGGCGGCTGCCACCGCTGCTCAGGTTATCAGAAAGGCTCTGGGCCTGGCCTCTGGCTAATTGGAGAGGTTAGGGACCCTGCCACAGCCTGTAATCAGCTGGAGGTGAGAGGCGGGCCCTACGGCAGAGGACCTTATTGTCCACCCTCCCTAGAACAGCCAGCCTCCTGCCCTCTGCTGATAACATCCTGGGCAACCTCCACAGCTACCAGCTTTCCCAGCACAACTGATAGCATCACCTGAAAGGTCATCAGAACATGATCTATTTGTGACCAAGCTAGGTAAGACATGCGATGTCCCCAATTCTCACAGTACTACCTGTTCAATGGGTAAAATACTGTGGGCTGCCTCTCAATCTGATGGGAAAAAAATAACCTTTATAATTTGGAGAGAGGTGAATGGGAGCTGCGGTGGCAACTCAAATGGAACAGCTCTGACAGGGGTCCCAAGGCAGATTCAAGCACATAAGTACAGACACCAGAGCCAACTCCTTCTGAGACATCCAGAGGCCAGGCCAAGCCAGCAAGGCGAGGCTGAGGCTGGGAAAACTGTCTTAATGGGGGTTTTTTGTTTTGTTTTTTTGCAGAGTAGATGGTGTCTAACACACGTCCATCCTCCCTTTGCAGATGACAAGCCTGAGCCTCACAGAAGGGTAGGGCTTTGCCCAAGGTCATGGAGTCACATAGCTAGTCAACTGGCCCCTGTCTGCACCTTGCTACTTCCTGTGCTCCGGCCAGTTCACTTACAAGGGCCTGAAGCTAAGTTGCCCTCTCTGTCCCACACAATCCAGGACTCATCCCACTAACCCCGAGAGACAGAAAGAGAGATGTGGGAGAGGGAGGGAGGGAGGGTGGACGGAAGAGAGTAAAGAGGTAGGGGGGAGATCCCTGATATCTTGTATTCAAATCAAGAACTCATTGAAAAGTGAAGGCATGAAGTGTCTGTGCCATTTCTGAGGACTGCAATGGCATCACCATTGACATCTAGACTCTTCTAAGGTCCCATTCCAGCTGTGCCACCAATAGCCTTGCGTGAATTACTGCTGGGCCAGAGCTTCAGGAAATAGGAAGGGGGAAGCACTAATAATCTGGCTAAAGAGGGCCAAGGAGAAGTTGCAGATCTTAAGGCAAAAATCTCGAGGCTGACCCGGTGGGCCTGGTAGCTGCTTGGCACTTGGAGGATGCCAAGTAGACGCAGCTGGAGCCTATATTGTGGCAGGATTCCTGGCAGCTCCTCCAGAGAATCCCAGGCCTGAGCGCGCGGGCCAGCCCTGCCAAAGGGCCTCTCCTAGGGAACCTCCATGCGTTCTGCCTCCCATAAGCCTCTCAGCCGAGTGTTTACATCATGCTCTGTTATCAGACACCTATGTGAGGTCCCCACGCATCCACGTACACGCAAGTCGAGGACACACCACTTTAGTGGACCCCCTGAGGACGGCTGCGCCCCTAGGACCTGCAGCCCTAAAGCCCTGAGTAGTTTGCAGACTCATGGTTATGAGATCATCCCACCCAGCCACCCCAAACTCTGGGGAAACTCGTCCAAAAGTCCACCAGGACCACGGGCTCCGCTCCCCAGCCTCGTGATCTCAGATACAGAGACGCCCCTCGAGGACTACGTCCATCCTGGGCCCCAAGTGGCCAGGCTGCCCCCACCCCCACCCCGCCTTCGCTCGGGCCAGGAGACCGCGGGCCTGGGCCACACAGGCCGCGCCTGCCCCAGCGCTTCTCCAGGCCTAACGGAAGGACGTTGTCCCGCAGCCGGGCCCGGGCACCAGACCGCAGACACGGAGGGGGTCGGCCGCATCCCCCGCCCCAGCCCAGCCAGTTGGCTCGACCCTGAGCGGGGTAATTGGGGCGGGCGGTGGCTCCAGAGAGACTGCGCGCCTGTCAGCCGCAATTTGTTTAAGTGGACGGGACAGGCCGGGCCGCTGTGGGCTGGGGTCACCGAGGCCGCGGCCCCCAGCCCGGCCAGCCCTGGGACCGCGGGGGAGCCCAGCCGGACCGCTAAACCGGGCTGGCTGGCGCCAAGGCTCCGGGAGGCGAGGGTCCGGCGGAGAAGCCGGGGATGGGAAGCGACTGCGTCCGCGCGCGCGCGCGCACACCCTGTCCAGGCGGGATGGACGCCTCCCGAGGCACCCCTCACTCAACCAGTCATCTTCCTAGGGCCACACACAAGGCACGCCAGCTTTGCCCAGGCGCCAGGGGATGCCACCAGCGCCATAGATGCCCAGTGATTTGTACGCGTCCGTCCCCCTGGGCCACACGACCATCCCCGAGCGTTCCCGCCATGCCCTCCACGCGGGCTCAGGGACCCCCTCCCCGCGCCGTCCGGTCACACCGAGCGCGACTCCCGCGGGGACGCCCCTCCCGGAGGACCAGGCTCCAGCCGTGTCTCTGAACTCTGCGAAAGGCTACCGGGCTAAAAGACAGACGCGCGCGGCCCAGCCAGGCTCGGGACTGCGGTCCCACCGGGGCCTGGGCAGCCGCGCCCCATTTCATTGTTGCGGGAAACGCAGAAAGTCCTGACGGAGCGCCAGGGGCCCCGACGCCCGCCCGACGCCCCCGCCCAGCACCGCCTCGGAGAGGGAGGGGCGGCCGAGCGCGCGCGTCCCCCGCCCGTCTGCGGGGCCGGCCCGATGCGAAGTGACAGGGGCCGGAGCTTTGTTGTGGAGCCTCGGCCGCCTGGCGCCAGCCGCCCCCGCCCGCGCCCTCCCCCTACAGCCCCGGGCGGCCCGCGAGGCGCCCCCCGGGGCCTCTTAAAGAGACACGCACACTCAGCCCTGGGGAGTCCCCCGGGGGTGCCCGTTCCTAGGAAGAGGGGAGGAGGGGGGGAAGATCCAAGCTGGGGGGGGGGAGAGGGGGGGATGGGAGGAGCAAGAGCTGCGAACTGCTAGGCGCCGCTCGAGAGGCTGCCGGGGCCGCCCCAGCGCCAGTCTTCGATGATCCGAGAATATTCCTAGCTGGAGTTTGACGGGGATGAGGGAGGGAAGAGGGGGCGGCAGAGAAGGGGAGGAAATCAATGCACAGAGCGTTTGCAGCAGACCCTGGGGATGATTACAAGATGGTGGGGCGGGGCGGATGGTCCTCGGCTTTGTAGGTGGGATTGAGGTCTCCAAAATATAGCCTCTGCGCCAAC